AGACAGCTCGCTGCCGCAGTGCTGCACGAGTGCTGAACGTACAGGAACCGTTCGCTGTAGCGCGTTTAGCTGGTTGGCGTGCGTCTTCAGTGTATCTGTGATACGATCTGCGCCATTTGCACAGTGTTCCTCGGAGAAGACTTGTGTTATCTGTAGCGTGTGTTAAGCTCTAGTAGGAAGTATTGTATACTAAAATCTGATTTGGACGATGTTTTCAATTCTGCAAAAACCTAGTCTGTATTTGATAGTCAGAATGTAGACGGTAAAGTTACATTAAAGCCGGTAACGTTACTTTAGCTTCACACGGGGACGTGCCAATTGTCAGGAAAGGCCGTGTTAGGAATGAGGGTAAAATAATACAATAAAATAAGAAATATTGAAGGCAGAACTATAATCTCCCATTTGTTTTAGTAGTATAAAGTATCACGCAGTCGACTAAGAGGGATCAGTCAGTCTGTAATTTTACGAGTCTCATATCGTTATTATGCTCGTTGGGTTAAAAAATTACTTCTACACTGAGATTCTGCCCAAATTAGACAAGAATATGGTTCTATTCGTGTAGAAGTTCTTGTAGTGTAAGCAAGGATGATCGTGTTGCTGAGAGGCTGCCCGGTGTTACATCGAGAGGAGTAGTGTAGCTGTTGCTAAGCATACTTTGGTGTTACATTTAATTATGTCCTTCACGTTACACCAATGTGTGATTGTGTCTGGTATATATTACGGTTGGTCGAACTGTATTTGATCTATTCTGAATGTGTAGTGCTAGTGCTGTACGCTGTCTTATTCTTGATACTGACCAATTGCGTAAGCAAGAGAGCAAGTTGAACTTCCGCTCTCACACTTTTATTATTTTTAACAATTAACCTTCAAAGTAAATTCTAATACGTGTAACATTATTTTATTAAAATAATTTTGAGAATAATTTCTAACATCAAAAGTGGAATAGTTTCTATAAAATATATATATATATATATATATATATATATATATATATATATATATAATATTATCTTTCGCAAGTTAATGACGTCGCGTTGACTGACACGGCCCACCGAAACATCGCATTTAACGTCGTTAGACCGTGTGTCGTCCGTTTAGGTGAATAGTATTTATTTAGATTTTTCGGGCAATGTAATACAATGCATTGACTACTCGTAGGACATGGCATTTGTGATATTATTATAATATGCACTATTTGTCCATATCTATTTTATATAATGTGAAGAATGTTCATTATAAAGCTGAGGAAAAGTAGCAGAAGTTTGGCTAAAAATTGGCAGAGGAATCGAGAACGAAAATGAATTATAAAACATTTCTTCATCTCTAATCCATTTACAAAATAGTCTATGAAATTCTTCTTCTTGTTGTCTATTTTTATTTACTGGGCGGACCCTATGTTTCTTTTTTCGTTTTGATGCTGCTGTCCACAATATCAATAGTTCATTTTCCGATGAAGAACTATAGTCATAAAACATGGTGACTGTAGTGGCAACGCGTAGATCGGCCAAAAGCGGGTTTCATGAGCAACTGAACGCTCGAACGCAGAACGCGAGCGCGAAGAATCCTAAACGTGTTTGAGAATCGTCTTCTCCTTGAACCCTTCTCATTTTGAAGCTTGACAGTAGAAGCTTCAAAACCTCAGTTCAAAACTATTAACTTGGCACGTCCATTTGTCCTCTACAAGTCCGATTTTTGTTTCGATTTGCAACGAGCGTAATATAAGAAATCTGTTGTTTGATTATGTACTTTATAGATGTTATTAAATCAAATGCGTTTAATTAATTCATATATTATTATACATCTAGAATGAAGCTGAGGTACTTGAAAACAACATACATTATCTTAGATAAAGTAGCTTCTATGTGAATCGGTCAGATTGGTTGAATTCTTGAATCGATTCAATAAATAGATTCAGATTTTTGGGTCGATCTAAAAATTCCATCTCTTATCTCCAAATATTCTATTTTTAATTTCTAAATAGAAAACGAAATTCAAATAATATTTATAAATTGTATTTTCCCCGTGTAGTGGCGGGTAAGACTTTCCACTACCCCATATCTTCTCGTGGGTATTGTAAAAGGCGACAGAGGGAAACTGAGGCAGAAGATGGGCAGCAGCATCTTTCTGATAACAGCAAAAGCAATAAAAAACTGCAGTTGCCAACCTACTCGCCAAACGTGGCAACTATGGCAACATACCCCCAGAAGCAATGACAATAATAAACGGCCCCCAGTCCCCGGCGGCCCCGCTATTCCTGGCTACGGTGGCGACCATGGTAACGGCGTGGCAGCAGGTGCTAAGAATCTCCGATGGAGGTTCGGTTGCCACCTACGACGAATCGAACTGGCAACTTATAACGCACGTACCCTGAAGACTGACGAGAAGATCCGGGAGCTGGAAGAAGAGATAGACAAGTTACGCTGGCATATTATAGGATTATCCGAAGTCCAAAGAGAGGGGGAGGACACTGTAATCCTCGAATCCGGCAACTTGCTCTATCACCGGAAGGGCGACCATCTGTTCCAAGGAGGTGTCGGATTTATCGTCCACAAGTCTCCTGTTAACAACGTTGTAAAGATTGGGAGTGTGTCGACGAAGGTCGCGTACTTTATACTCAGAATAACCAAACGGTATTCGCTGAAGGTAAACCAGATTTACGCACCAACCTTGGCACATCCAGGTGAGAAGGTTGAGGAAATACATTCCTCCAAAATCTACTATACGGTTTAACGGGAAACTTCAACGCAAAACTAGGCACAAGAGAGAACGGTGAGCTGAAGGTAGGGAAATTTTGAATAGGGCAACGGAACTCAAGGGTCCAGCAGCTGGCTGACTTCATGAAGAAAGAGGGATTCTTTATGATGAACTATTTCATATATATATATATATATATATATATAAACATAAAAGATTTTTAATATTGATTTGGTCACTATAAGATGCTGTTAGGTTAGCTAATTACGTAATAACGTGAGATAAAAAAACCCTTACGTAGAGACTGAATAAATTATCCGTCTTGGTATTACGTGGATCTCACAACTTTTTACGGAAGAAGAACTGAGTTGCGAGACATGGGTTTTTTTATAAGTTATGTTTTTGATAGCATTTCATTTTTTTTGTAGATGATCTTACTTTTTTTCCTATCCGGTACCATCTACTTCTTGAATACCAACTACGGATTTTCGGACAATTTAGTCTACTTAATACTTTGCGGGATTTTGGTACAACTTCATAAGACATGTCCCATGCTTGCTTTTTCATTCCGTCGACCATTTTACAAGTTACCTTTGAACATTATTATATCTAGGTACCTATCTACATCTATTATTCTATTATATTATATATAATATACGGGTTCACTAATTCATTCACTGCAAGTGTAACTTACAAAGTTATTTATGCAGTTAGTGTATTTAGAAAACTGGACAGAAATTACAAAATATTTTAGTTTTTTCTTAATTTATACACTAAACACTAATAATATTCTAAATTTGAAGCTTCTGCATGTGCTAGAAGTGCCTTAGAGTTTTAATGATCGGTCAGTCAGTGAGTGACAAAATTAAGAAACTATGACTAGTCATAATTCTTAAACTACTGGTTCAAATTGCATGAAAAGTGAAAGGCAGGCAAATATCAGGATATGACGTAATATATGGGAATATAATAATCACTTATGTTTTGGGTGGTTTTATGAATTTTAAATTTAAGTTATTGTGTGGTTGTCGATTTTCAAATAAAACTTTGATATTGTTTTTCTCTAATATATAATTGGCAGAGTTTCTGCCTAAGGCAAACTCGTAACTTACAATGATCCCACTCGGAGTTCTGCATTTGTTTTTATACCCGCATTATGCGGTTTACAATTATTCATAAACGGAAATATTTTAAAATCATCTACATTGTTTATTACATCCGGAATCTTATTTTTAATGTAATTACAAACTCAAATATTATTAATACTATAAATCAAATAATTATGCATTTATTTAATCAAGTAACGTTTAATAATAAGAAGTTTAATTAAGTTTATAATTATGGCTGAGGGCGGGAAACATTTGCTAACATTCGGCCATCCTGCGACGGCTGTGTCCCACGGCGATCAGACAGCAGGTTTCGGTTCCATGAAGTGCCTGGAAAATTCAAAAGAAAATGAATAATAAAAGTTAAAATATGAGAAATTAAGCAGTTGTCTTATAAATTCTGAAGCTATGTTTTATAAAATATTTTTTTTTGCTTTGTCCACGTAACTGGAGTGTGTTACGAATGGAAATTTAGTCCTTGGTCACAAAGACTGGTCACACCGATTGGTCACACAGACTGGTCACACAGACTGGTCACACAGACTGGTCACACAGACTGGTCACACAGACTGGTCACACAGACTGGTCACACAGACTGGTCACACAGACTGATCACACAGACAGGTGTCGGTCACACAGACAGGTGTCTGTCACACAGACAGGTGTCGGTCACACAGACGGATCGGTCACACAGATGGATCGGTCACACAGACTGATCGGTCACACAGACGGGTCGTTCACACAGAGAATTTTGATTAGACCTGGGTACCTCTTAGGTAATTGAATATTAATAATAAATGTTCTCTAGTTACATAAAGGATATTAATTAATTACAATTATTCCTTGTGTGATCAATGAATGCTTGCCAAGGTATTGTCACGCATAACTTTGTGATGTTTTTGTCGCGTACATTCTTACCTAATATACTTTCTCCTACTTGCGAATGGTATTGAACGATATGCTATTATGGATAGAGCAATGTATCTTCACATGGTTAATAATCCCATTGTTTATGTTTCAGATGGATGTGGTTATTTCAAAATGGAGTTTTCTACACAGCGATGTTGAAGTAAATGTATATTTCTGCAGTAGGCAATATTTTGCCAGGTTTGGTATAACAAAACGTTCTCCACGCAACGTTTTTCTGAACAGGTCGTTATCTTTAATAACATAATTATTATTTACGTCTGGGCTAGTGGTCTATTCCCGTAACTGAGTAATTATATGCTGAATATTGTCGTTCTGCAATTGTAGCGTTACTAACCAATCTGATTCGTCATTTTGGAAAATATGTTCCGTCAGGGGGTTTCTACTCAAGGCATCCACGTGCTTCATTCGTTCTCCCGGTCTGTATACTATTTCCAAGTTATAATCCTGGATGGTGAGCCACCATCGAGCTATTCGAGGAATGAGATCCTTTTTAATCAATGTAGCGCGTAAAGCGGCACAATCTGTAATTACTTTCACAGGTATCCCTACTAAATAAATGAGAAACCGTTTCAGCGACTCTACTACTGCGAGGGTCTCAAGTTCATAACTGTGATAGAATTGTTCTTCTTTAGATGTTACTCTAATGAAATATGCTATTGGTTTTATTGCGCCATCGGGCTGCTGCTGTCTGAGTATCACACCTAATCCTAACTTGCTCGCGTCAGTGTGCAGCTGCTTTGCTGTCATAAATGCCAAGAACTGGCCTCTCAATTAATCAAAGTTTCAGACACTGAAACGCATTTTCCTGTTCTGGTCCCCAATGCCAATCCATGTTCTTCTTCGTCAGTTTTGTTAAGGGAAGAGCAATCTCAGCAAATCCACGAATGAATTTTCTAAAGTAGGAGGTAAGTTCAATAAACTGCCTGATCTCATGAACGTTTTTGGGTCATCGATATTCAGAGACACATCTGATTTTGGCTTGACCAGGTCGGATTGTTCCTGCAGATATCTCATGACCCAAGTAATTGACACTTGCTTTCAGAAAAGAACATTTTTTTTAGATTTAATTTTAGACCAGCTTTTTGCAAAAGGCCTAGAACACCATCCAATAATTGTATACCGGCTTCTACAGTTACAGTAGGCAGCATTATGTCATAAAGATAGATGGCAACCTCGTTTCTAACGTCTTTTAAGGCAAGGCTTATTAGTCGAGAAAACACAGCAGGAGCATTGGCCAAACCGAAAGGTACCTTTAGGAATTCGTAATGCCCGGAGGGTGTCACAAAGGCAGTTTTATGTGTCGAATCATCGGCAAGCTTTACTTGATAATAGCCTTGAGCCAAGTCAAGCGTTGTGAAGTAAAATTTACCCGCCAATTTTAAAATTTGATCGTCAATATGTGGCAAGGGAAACCGATCTTTTGTAGTGCGAGAGTTTAAAGCCCTATAATCGACGCATAGCCTATAGTCACCGCCTTTCTTTTTAACCAATATAACTGAACTTGCATATTCGGATGTTGATTCGCGTATTATGCCGGCTTCAATCATGTCTTGCACCTTACTATTAACGATTTCGTTTTCTTTGTGTGATAGTCTATATGGCTTAAAGTAAACTGTTTTGTCAGTAGTTGTCCATATAAGCATTTCTATGAGATCTGTGTAGCCCAAATCTCTCGTATACCTAGCAAAGATATGACGGTATTTATTTAATAGTTTTAGGAGCTCATCCTGGTCCCTCTTTTCTAGATCTCCTACGTCAATTTCACCCTTATTTGGAAGGCTACCGTAACCATCAGGAAGACAAGAAAAATCAGTATTCAGTACGTCCTCCACATTAGTAGGGGGTAGGGTCACTAGTTCAGCCCGAGCTATTAATTTACGAGCAGGGAAGGAAACTGGTATATTACTCATATTTATAAATTTTAAACACCCTTCGATGCAGATAATTCCTCCAGGTATTGCGTAACATAATTTTCCTAATTGCATATAGACAGAATTTGTCAGGAAGTACTAATTGTCGTTAGATTCAATATTCACCGTCGCGTCAATTAGACTGATGCTTTGTGCTGGTAAAATGACATCACATTTTAGGTACACATCGAATTTACTATTGTAGTCTAGATTTTACAATTTAACGCACTTTAGGCAATCGTCAACTGCTAAAGTTTCTACAAATTTTGCAGAGCTAGAAGTAGTTACCAGACCTACCCCCGGTTGATTAATCTTAGGTTGCCTTATAATTAAGTCTATATCGGATAGCTCGTAATTAGTTATTTCAACGTACCCACTTAGACATATTTTGTCTATATGCACAGTTATTTGCGACCTCCCTAACGATTGTATGCAAGTTCCCCCAAATCCTCGCATTACCGTGGTCGATGCCGCAATTGGTAATTTCAACAACTTCGCTTTATTTTGTGTTAAAATATTTAATTTACTACCCGTATCTATGTAGACAACCAGTTTTTCTATGCCGATGTACGCGTAACTCTTATATACACTGCATAACACATCAGTAGTGGTAAACACGATGTGACTCACCAGGGATGACGAACGTTGGTGCGTTGAACCAGGAGTCGCCACAGTCCAACAGGTAGCCGAAGTGTGACCATTGCGTTGACAGTTTTCACAGCGTTGTTTTGAATGGCAGTCCTGTGCTACATGTCTTAATCGCCGGCAGATACAGCACCGTCTCACCCCAGTCTGTTGGTCAGTTGCAGAGCTTCCATCGGTTGTACCCCTTTTCCATAATGACTTTCGCATTGGTGTAGCAGCTTCTATTCTCTTATAATTTTCAAATGATGATAAATACCCGTAGTATAATAACTGTGGCGTCCGACATTTGTACGCTTTTGCGTTTGCTTGCAGCTCCACGGGAAGACCTCGGATGATACAAGAGATTGCATTTTCTCCCACGATCTTTCATTTTTTAATAAGTGATAATTTGTCGTGGAAATAATTAGTTATGGTTTCGGAATCTTTTTTTGTTCTTGCCAACATCTCTTCGAGCCTGCTGACGAAATCAGTGGATCGTGGAAAGGCCATTTCCAGGGCACGTTACCATCCTTCCCAGTAGAGGTTATAATCATCTAAGTCATCATACCAACGTCGAGCTGAACCATGCAGACGTAGTTGCATTAAAAATTGTTTCTCGGTTGCATCCCATCCATATATTTCACCAAGCTGATCGATCTTGTGCAACCAGCTGCTGACATCACTGGTATTATCTTCAGGTCGAAATTTGGGGATGACCTCAGCGTCGACATGACTCACTCGGCGTTTTTTTCCCATAGCGGACGCGTGGTCTTCTGAAGAAAAAAATTTTGACTTGGGAGCATTTTCGGCAATATTTCCGTTTATTTTCACCAAGGCCGTGTATGTCCCCTACATATACCGTGTATGTACGGGCCCGACATTTTATATCCCAGAACAATTTTACTTTTGTTTTTCACGAATTGTGGTTGTCAATTTTCAATTAAAACTTTGATATTGTTTTTCTCTAATATATACTTAGCAAAGTTTCTGCTTAAGGCCAATTCGTAACTTACAATGCTCCCAGTCGGAGTTCTGCATTTGTTTTTATACCCGCATTATGCGGTTTACAATTATTTACAATATATTACAATTATTCATAAATGGAAATAGTTTAAGATCACCTACATTGTTTATTACATCCGGAATCTTATTTATAATGTTATTACAAACTCAAATATTATAAATACTATAAATCAAATAATTATGAATTTATTTCATCAAGTAATGTTTAATAATAAGAAGTTTAATTAAGTTTATAATTATAGCTGAGGGCGGGAAACATTTGCTAACAACATATTATTTTAAACATTAATTTACGTTTGGTTAAGCCCGAAGATTTTTTCGAGACTGAATTTACAGATAATAAAATTAGTTTATTTTTCATTTTAATTAGCCTCTCGTAATTAACCTCACGTAGCAGATCATTAAGCAAATGTTTTATTTTAGTTTTCTAAACTTTTATACCTTTGGCCCTAATTCAAATTACACGCTTTGAAAAGTAAACTGAGAAAGATGTTATGACAAGGAAAACTGCAATAGTTTACTAGACACAACACATTGAGTATGAATTTTTTAATTATAGCCTAACCATGATAAAATGCTCCAAATTTCTTGGCGGAATAAGTAGGTCCCTTTAACAAAAAAAAAATTACAAAAATAGAGATTACTTTACCATAAAATATTAGACCTACTTCTATCCATGAATAATATCAATACAGTACCTTGTTAAAGTGCCCTAACCCATACTACGCTGCCTAATCCCTTCTTCTAATTTGACGACCTAGTGGCAAAAACAATATATTTAAACAAGTTTTACATGATTTTTGTGCGAATTTTAAAGTCGGTTTTTACGATTAAGAAATCGCTTTATTTTCACTTTTCTTGAGTCATAATTAAAATCTAAGAGAAATTCATCAGTAAAAATGTTTAGATATAAATGTTATCGATGATGACGATGAATTTAATATTATAAATTACATTTGATAAACTTAGGTAAAAAATTACCTAAGTCAATTTGTCTAAGGCAATTCATTAAAATTGTACCACCTTTAACAATTGATCTAGCTTAAATGATAAACTAAAACCAAAGATACACCTTGACATCTGTGTTAATATACCGATAATATACAACGCAAAATTGTAAAGGTCACCAAATTGTGTACAAAAGAATTTTTAAGGAAAGGTCTCTTTCCATCGGCAAAGCTTTGTGTAACTTTTTCAAGCGTGCAGAGAACATTTGGAAATGTACATGTCCACCTCAAGAGCGCTTTGTATCCAGTCTTTAATAGCGGAGGGCCAGGAAAAAGTATTGTTTTATGTCGCAACTTGTGTCATATTTTAAGATTGCTTAAAATGAAATAAATAGAAACCCGCGATGTTGGAACGGCTTCATTGGAATAAAATCTATAGTTTTTAGTGTTCGTTCAATATATAACGAAATACAATAAACATTAAGTTTGTTTAGTTTATTTATTGTTTAAATTAAACAAAGCGTTACCATGTATGTACATAATATAATTATAACATTTAAAAACTATACCAAGATTTATACTTGGGATGATGTAGTACGTGACAGAGTCACGCTGCAACAATAGGTTGTAGCACAAATGGGTCGTATCAACCGGGGGAGGATCACGCTCTCACAGAATACCAGCTTAAAATAGCAACTCAATTCCTCTGTGTTTCGTATGTTGAGTGTAGAGAACTGGAGAACCGGAAAGTGGGTCTGCATTTTGATTCTTAACCGAGGATAGATGAAGATGTGTATGGACCACAGTGTCCACTTACTGCCAGGTGGACTGTGTGCTCGTTTGTTACCAATGTTCTATAAAATAAAAAGTAAATAAATAAAATAATTTTATAAAGATATAATTAAATGTTTTGGTTGCATACAATATCTATATCTATATTTTTATATTTAATAAAAATAAATATTAGAAATCCGTTGAATAAAAATAAATAATTGACGTGGCTTGGCGGTGTAAGAATATACTTAAACTTCCTTATATAATCCCGTGGGTGTCGTAAGAGGCGACTGAGAAAGATTTAATAAAATATTAGGCCATATATTTCGAAAACTTATTTTTAGACTTACGAATCAAACAGATTTAATGTCTAAAAAAAAGCCATAAAAGGTCAAAAAAAAAACTCCTATAAATGTACAATTCTGGGGATAGGCCGGAATCTTAATAATTTCTATAAATTATATTAATG